ACCCTTCAAATTCTCATCACTCTTTTTCTGCAAACCAGGAAAAAGTTATTCCATTTGTTCAGGTGACAAACAGGTTTTGTTTAGGGGGTTGCCTTAGACATTTATTTGTAAAAAGCTTTTTTAATACTCCAAGTTCTGTGTGTGTGAGTTGGTGCTGGTTAGTAAGAATACTTTGCAGAAATGAGTCAGGGTTGCTCAACATTCTGGGAGAGTCAAGGCAGGATTTGTAAGGAAATGGTGAGTAAGGTGGACAGGGTTGGTGAATGATTGTGTCCTTATGGAATATTGATTAGGTTCCGGTGGGTTATTGATCTGGATTATGCTTGGTGGATGGATTGTGATGAATAGATTATGCAAATTGTCTTTGGCAGTCCTCTAAACTTAGAGACTATTCCCAAATTTTAGCAGAAAATCCTGTTTTCTATAAATTCTCTTCCTCTCCCCCCACCACCGTCCCTCCCTCTCTCTCTCTCTCTCTCTCTTTCTGCCTTGAATTAAATGATACCCAAAAAGTACATGGATATTTATGAGCCCTTTCTTAAGACAATTTTGCATTTATTTCAAATTTTTTACATAGAAGGAAAAATGTTGATTTATTTAAATCAGTGAAAGAAAATTCTGCAGAGTACCCACTTCAACTACAATTCCAATTACTTTTTCCTTCTGTCATCACAATCATTTGAAAATTATAGAAGTCTCAACACTGAAGTTTGCAAACTCAGGAAATAAAGTATTTTCTAAAATGCATGCTTTGAAAATAGAAACAAACATTTCTTTAAGGCACCTAATTTTAAAGGTAATACAGATGGTTCAAATATATTATTCAGAATTATTACTTTATCATGATAATAAAGACATACTATACCATAGTGCTGTCCCTAATGTTATTTTCTGATAATAAAAACTTTTTTTCAACATAGACCTGTTTAGAACTGATTCTACTGCACCTTCCAGTAGACACAGTTCTTTCCCTTAGACCTGAGCTATTTGATAGCCACTAGCCCTATGTGGCTATGTAAATTTAATTTAATTTAACATAAATTAAATGAAGAATTTACTTCTTTGGTTTCCCTAACACATTTCAAGTACTCAAAAACTACATATATTCAGAGGCTACTTTATCAGACAGCACAGATTATAAAACATTTCCTTTATTTCAGTAAATTGTACTATTCAACTCTTAGCTTAGGCCAGGGATGGCGAACCTTTTATAGCTTTCAGTGATACAAAGAGCCTGCTGTGTCATGCCTGCCATAAGTTTGCCACCACTGGCTTAGGCCATAAGTGCTTTCTATTAGACACCAGAGCTACTCTTCAACAGGTATACAGCAGGTCTATAAGAACATAAGTTTATTTCCAGTACTATTTTTTAAAAGACTGTAACATTCCATTGTAAAGCCTGATTTGCTTATTCCATTTTATGGTTACAAACTGATTCTTTTTTTCTTTCTTTCTTTTTTGGTACCAGGGATGAGACTCAGGACCTTGAGCTTGCAAAGCAGGCACGGTGTCACTGAGCTAAATCCCAGCCCTCATATTTTTTATTTAACACTTACTTCACCACCTTTGCTGTCTCCGCATCTAAGCTGAAATCATTTTAAAGACAGGGAGTACATATCAAAAACTTTTAAACCTGGGCTGGGGATTTAGCTCGGCAGTATTGCATCTGCCTTGCAAGTATAAGGTACAAGGTCCTTAGTTCAATCTCCAGTTAAAAAAACAAAACAAAAAAAAAAAACTTTACACCTTTTCACTGCTTCCTAGATAAACAGTGAATACAAGAGTTTTTTTAGAAAAACTTACTGAGTTAATTACAATGTGACATAGCCTCCTGTGTGGTCTGGATAGGGTTTGTCCTCCAAAGCATCCAAATTGCAAAGTTGGACCGAATGTGGCATGGAAAGCTAGTGAATCGTTAAGAGGCATGGCCACGTGGAAGACGATTAGGTAACAGGGTAGCACCTTTGGAAAAGAATAGCTAGGGGTAGTCCCCTCAAGAGTGGGTTATTAGAAAAGAGTGTGCCTTGCACTCCCTGGTCTTCCTCACTTGCACATGTATCCCTTCTGTCTATTCTGTAAGCTTTGCAGCCACATTATAATGCTGTCAGGGAGGTACTATCAGATTCTGTTTGGACTTCCCTGTCAACAGAATTCTGAGCCAAACAAACCTCTTTTCTTCATACATTACCTAGCATCAGATATTCTCTTAAAGCAACACAAAGCATACTAAGACACCCACCTACTCTAATTCCATGCATTCTGGGTATTTCATAAGTCAGTTTCCTAATTGCAGAGGCCATAATCCTGATTATGCCCAAAGCAGGATGTGAAGAGTTAACCCACAAAGGGCTTGTTTATAGAAGTGAGTCTGGCCATAGCCTATGTGTTAAAGTCAGAGTAACTCACGCCTAAATTCTGTTCCCACAACTAAAATGTTCAGACTAAAAGGACAACGTCCTAATTACAATCATATATTTTGTCTATTCTGTTCTGAATTTGAGAATGCTTTGTCTTGTCCTTTTTGAACCTTGTTTACATTAATTTCCATAGAAATCACACATTGCCTTTACCCTCAGTTGATTGCCAATAAAAGTCAGTGCCTGGATCTGACCAGGGCTTTTGGCAGTTGCACTGGCACTGGTTGTCCTGGCACCCCACTTTCTCTTAGTTCTGTCTCTTACTGTACTTTTTTCCTCAGGCCCGTGTCACACACTGTGTGGTGTGTACTGGAACCTGACCACAGGGATCTCCGGTACCTAATCTTGGTAGAATCCTCATGATCGCTCCAGATACTTTTCAAATCTATAGTGAAGACCCTTACAAGAGATATAAGGTACAAAGATTCCCTGGTGAGGGAAAATGACAAAAGTTATTTTAGCTGTATCCCTGGTAGGCAAATTTCCATTTCCTCCTGTTGGGAGCCATGTCTGACTTCCCAAACTCACCAGACAGTCCAGCCCTTGTTCAGCATTCAACATACCCTCAGTTGTGCAGTCCAGCCAAAAACAAGTTTTTACCTTCACCCTAAGCCTGATCCTCACAATCACTTTTCTAATCCTGACAACTATTCTGAAAATACTTGTTCACTCTACAAATGAGTATTTAATATTCTTCTATACAAAGAATCGTGCTTGACAGTGAAGACAAAACAGAATAAAGGAGGGTGATAATAAGTAGCAAATCAATGTATTATTAAAACCTTTGAGATGCTACAGTGGAACAGAGGCAGTGTCTCCAATAAAGGATTGAGAGTAAGATGAGACAGACCTCACATTCAATGAGCAGGCAAGACATCTTGAAGAGAAAATGTGTACATTGAGACTAGAAGGACACAAGATCTAAGGACATAAAGAGGCAGGCAGAAGAAACAGCATATACAAAATGGTTGATTTAAATAACAAAAGTGGTTTAATCAAGGAACAGAGAAGTAACTAATGTGGCTCAAGAGGAAAGTAACAATTTATATCATTTATATTTTGGGTTTCTCATATAGGAGAAACTGTACAACATTTAACCTCTGCGTGCATTTTCCTACAACTGATTCAAATTTACACTACTTTATGGTTGATTATTACATCGTTGCACATATACACATTTTCTGTATCCATCATCTGTTCGTGGGCCCACAGGCTGCTTCTAAGATTTAGCTGTTATTAGTTGTGTTGCCACAATATACATGCAACAATTCCCCAAGCAGAATGTAAACATTAGATATCACAAACTGAAAAAAAGAGGAAGAAAGAAAAGGAGCAAGAAGCAAGGGAGGCAATGATCATATTATTGGCATTTTGTAAATGGCCTTCTCAGCCATAACTATTAGTTGAGATGTTAAGTGCTCTGCAAAGCCCTTGAAATGTCTACATCAGGGGAATAACACAGAAATTGGATGAGTGAGGGGGCAAGTGAATGAATCTACTTAATGCTCAAGAGCAAGCTTATTTAAAAGAGTGCTATTGGGCAGGCATGTCCAACCTGCAGCCCACAACAAGCAGTAATGCAGTCCCATAACTCATAAAGTTTTAACATTATTATGTTACTATCACTGGTATTTTTCATTACTCGACCAGGCAATGCTGTGCCACAGACTGCGTGGGTGACACTGACTCCACCTCCGAGCTCACCACCCAGTCAGGCAGATTGAAACCCATGTGCATCAAACACATGTGCTTCTGCATCCTGGTAAGTAAAACACAGCAAGCACTGATGATCACATTTCAGCCTACACACGTGTGCCTGTGAAGGCAGGTGTTTATTGTGATTAAGCGGCAGAAGTGTAAGTTTCCTTTCAATTATTAAACTTTTGTGGGATTTCATAAAATAATTTAAAAAGTTAAAATATAAAAAAGGAAACTGAGAAAGGGGCTAAAGGTGTAGGGAAAGTGGGAAGGGTAGAGGAAAGCTAGTAAGGGAAAATAAAAAAATACGAGAAAATGAAAAGATGGAAATGAAGTGTTTGTAAAAGGGGAGGGAGGAGGGGTGAAGGGAGGGCAGGGACAAGGGGAAAATTGAGAACCACGACCTGTCATGTAAAGGTACAAGATCCCAATGATGCATGTAACTGTACTGTATCCCTAAAATGTACCAATAAACTCAGTGAGGAAAATAAATAAATAAATAATTAATTAAAAAAGGAAACTGGGGCCGGGGATTTAGCTTAGCGGTTCGGTGGCCTGCCTTGCAAGCGCAAAGACCCGAGTTCAACCCCCGTACCAAAAAAGAAAGAAAACTGTTTTACTTACATCTATTAACTGCATTACGTATTTTATATGCAGCCCAGGATAATTCCTCTTCATTCAATGTAGCCCAGGCAAGCCAAAAAACTGGTCATCCATGCTCTACGTAGTTTTTATAAAAAATAAATACTGCATTTCCTGTCTATTCAACTCCTCTCTTCCTTTTGGATTAAGAGGGTGATACATTTGACTGATACTGGAACCAACTCTACAAAATCTCTACATTCACTTTTTAGAAAGCAGCGTTAACTGGTAGACTTCCCTGACCTCTTCAGGCAGAAGCAGGTCTTCTCTCCTCAGTGTTGCTTCAGTGCTCAGCACGTCCCTCAGTGACAAAGTTGCCCCTTGGAATTATAGGTGGGTGTTCTAGCAGCCTGTGAGTGCAGCGCATGCACCTCTGCAAGTGCACTTCCTGGTTCCGTGTCTACCACAGAGTAGGCCCTCAGCAGTGTTTTCTGAATGGGTAAGAGAATGAGGAGAAGATGGGCAGGGGATCTTCTTTAGTAAATGCAGATGTAGAAGCAAGTTTCTATGCTAATTTGCACCAAAAGAAGATTAATTTACAATTTCTGTAATCAGCTGCTCTGAACTGATTATGCATTAGAGTCCTGAGGTTTTCTACGAATATTACTATGTATGCAGCATGTAAATTAAAATAGCTCTTAGAAAACTGAGAGGCTTGAATTCCCATCCTATAATTCAGGTCTTCTCAATTAATTCAATGTCCCCTTTCCTAAATAACGCTGGAGAAGCACTAGTAGTTGAATCTAGCAATTCCTACTTTAGGTCAAGACGAACATTCTGTGCACCCTGAATGTGGTACCTGCTCCTCCTCATGTCCATGGGAGACAGGTAGGACAAGCATTTTTATCTTTGTCTCATAATGAAAACATAACCTTTCCCAGAAAAACTCATTTAAAGTTACCTGGCTTATATGCAGAGGAGCACACCTTCCTAGAATCCATTTTCTAAGATCCCTTTCTTTTACACCAGTATCTGGATTAATAGTTCTAAAAGTATGTTCCTCAACCAGTGGCAGCAGACTCACCTGGGAACTTTCTAAAAATGAAAATTTTCCTCCCCCCACAGACTTACTGAATCAACAATTTCAGGGTTGAGGAAGAGAAAGGCAGCAATGTTCTAAGCCCTCCAATTATTGTAACATACCCTGGGAAACTCTGCTCTAAATAATATGGTCTGTAAAAGATTGATAATAAATACATGGATTCAAGCCAAATATAATTTATTTCATATAATACAAAACTCCTTAATCTGGAAGAAAAATCCCACATGAAAATTTGGATATACTAATTATCAATTCATTATTCATTGTGTTGGTATATCACCACATTGAATACTATTTGTGCAAAAGCATTAATTTTTATTTAATATAATACTTTAAGAATTTTGCCATACCTTTTCAATTATATTTAAGCATGAATGAACTGTGAAAAATTAAAATTTTAACTTATACTTATCCCAAACCCATCAGCATTACTATTAACTCTAGTGCATACATCTTGCCCACCAAACTTATAAAAGCAAAAGGATGGGCAAATATTATACTTCTATACAGAGTCTATTTCATGAAGATGTGTTTATTAGTTAAGTAGTAAAATAAATGAATAGAAGAGTCAAATGTTTCCTACCTATATCAATTGAAATCTTTGCTGAAAAAAAAAAAATTTCATCCAAAAAAGAAACTTGGTAGTTTCTCCTGGGGAAGTCAACTTAATCTTCTGTGGGTCCCTGAATGATCCCTGACTCACAGACTTTAAGCAACTGAGATTTAATTATAGGTCTTGTAAAAGCATTTCAGAAAGATTCTCCTTCCTGAGACATAAACAATGTGTGCTATTAATTGTACAGCAGAATAAGACAGTGAAACCATGTAGAAAACAGAGCAAATATTCTTCCAGAGGATTTTGGTTAATAAATATTTTAGCTAAAAGATATTATATTAATGACCCTAATTTATATTTATATTTACATTTATACTAATTTATATTGATATTGATATTGATATTGATAATTTATATGTATATTAATGACCCTGATTTTTTGTGAATTACTTACCCTAATGAGTAGGCACTCCAGGGTTGTTCAACAGCAGTTGTTGTGGCCTAAGCTGAGAAGTTTTGGTCTTTCTAAAAGAGAAGAGAAATCAGTGTCAAAGCTGGAATCAACAGAATATTTTGGAGCTGATAATCCAGGCTAAATATTATGGGCTTTTATAGTTTCCCCCCTCCCCTTAAATATAAGAGATTTCAGGAGCCATTAATACTCCTTGATTAACTCTGGCAGATTCTACAGTCTCTAAATCATTTTCATGGTGGCACACTGCATTCTGGGACAGGTTATCAATTTTGTGTCCCAATGACAGTTTGTCCTTTTCACTTACATCCTTTATTCTCTTCCCAAGAGGAGTTGATCCTAAATAGAAGGCAGAAAACTATTTAAGGAAAATTTCTAAAAGGTTTGTGAGCTGACAAGCACAAAAGTTTGAGCTAAAATAAACACATTATTACCTACAGTCTCAGGGACAGTAAATTGCTTAAAATGAAGCTATCCCTCAATTAAAATCTGAATAGTTAAAAAACAGTAATAGTTGTGTTCTATCACTGATGATATGCCTCTGTGTACCAGAACCCCTTTCCAAACAAGTGATCAACATTGCCTCATTTAACTTTTACAACAGCACTTCCTAGGTAGGTAGCACCATTCTCATTTTAGAACAGAAAACTTAACTTCAGAAAGAAATTGTGTAATTATAACCACACCAGGACCTACGGTAACATCAAACCTAGAACTCCCTGATCAAAATCTATGCTGCTTTTAATATAGAAAATGAATGGAAGAATCATTGCTTTTTTCCTTGTGGGTTCAGTGACAATTGAGAGCCCTGATGTTCAAGGGCTCTTTCACCCACAGCAGAGTGATATGAAGGCAGCTCTTTGTTAATAAATTGTCTCCTACATAGTCTTTAAAATATTTTTTATTTTTACTTGACATGCATTAATTGTATATATGAATGAGATAGTGTGACATTTTGATACATGTATATAGTGTATAATGATCAGATCAGCATAATTAGTATATCTATCACCTCAGACATATATCATTTCTCTGTGTTGGGACCATTCAAAATGCTCTTTCCTGGCTATTTTGAAATATTTACTCAACCACTGTTATCTTACTATGTGGTCTGAATGAACATTATGGTACTGCCAGCCTTGAAATTAACTTCTGTGGACCAAAGCCATCTTTCTAAATGATCTGGTGCAGATCATTTACTTAAGATAGGAGCAGAAGAGCCAAATTACAGCTCAGATTGAGTGCAGCAGTCACTAAATTTCCATAGCAGGAAGGGTGGAGAAAGGCTTGGAGCAGGAGTGGAGAAACCAACTGGCAGTTAGGCCAGGACAAGGGGAAGCCATCAGGAAAAGCAGAGGAGATCCAGAGGGGAGATCTAAACCCAACCATCTCCTGCTTTAACATTGTGCCCCAGTTTAACAGTACTGATGACAGGTACAAGACCAGTACTTAAAAGTTCTCACAATGACTAACTATGATACAGAACAACTGCCCTGGTAATCAACAAGTTTTAGTGTAAAAGAGTAATAATACATCGGCAGAATATCACAAAAGAAGAGGAAGAATTACCTTTCATTTTTGCTCTAGATATTTCATATTTCCCAAATTAAAATCAATTAAAGCCCTATCTAGCCTAGTTTTAATCAGGGTAATGCTATAATTTTGCTCACATCATCAGGATAGAAGTTTTCAGACAAGAAAAAAATGTGCATGATGAAAAAATGGCGGATTTTTTTGTCACAAAATTATTAAATCTCCCTTTTGAGTGTTATTGTTTTCCAGGAAAAAAAAGAATCTTTGTATTACTGAGACAATATGAGGCCACCAGAAACAGAAAGAGTAACACAATCCATTTTCTTTAACAAATGTTTACTGAGTACTTTTTATGTGATAGGCACTGAGGGAAATAAAAAATGAATAAAACTGCTCACTCTGACAGTCTCTTTGAAAACATACACTCATGAACAATTGCAAAACAATTCAACCAGGGTTTTAATAAAGGTTTGTACCAGGTCCCCTGGAAAACACAGAAGGGAGTATGCAATTTAATTTGTCTCTGAGAAAATTTCACCAGAGAAAGGAGATTTGAGCTGCTAACCCAGCGCAAATTTCCAGAGGTAGGGCGATATGAGGCCTGTCTGGGGGAATGCCACATACACACAGTGGAAGAGATCTGTTTGTTTGTTTAATATTATTTAGTTAACTTGTAGTTTTTAAGCATTTTAAGCATACAGTTTGCATACTTTTAAGCATACAGTTTGTACTCTTTTAAGCATACAGTTTTCATACTTAATCTTCAAAATAACTTTCAAAATAATCTAAATTTTACAGATGAGAAAACTGAGGTTTATATGAGTAAGCTAAATGACATGCTCAGGATGTCACTTGTGCAAAACTAAAATAGAAACCCAGGATGTTAGCACATATATTCTAACCACTACAGAGCACAGCCCACGTGCTAATGTGTGGGACAGAAAGGTCAATTGTGAAAACTTTATGCATCCCGTAACTGAGTTTAAATAGGATAGTGTTTGGCCATCAAAGGTTCAAGGCAAAGAAATAAGACAATAGGATTCTGGTTACAGAAATATTCTTAGTCTGGTGGCAGTACAAAGAATGGACTGCAGACCAAAGAAAGAGAGGCTAGAGCAGCTTTTGAGAATATGCTGCAAAAGCACAGGCAAGAGGTGTTGAAGGTTTCAACCATCATCATGAATGAGGGGTTGCACAGAAGAAACAGTATAAAAAATTATTTAGTGGTAGGTACTGGAGGCGCTGGGAAAACTAGGTGATGAATGAGATGGACATCGGCCACCCAGGATGGTAGTTTCTAGCCTGAGGAGAGTCCCTTGATGCAGCATTAGTCAAGCTGAGAAGGGGAAGGGAGACTTGGAAACAAAGAAGATAAGGAAGAAGAAAGGGAAGAAGGGAAGAAGGGATATATGGAAGGGAAATGAAAAGGGAAAGAGACTTAAGGAGAAAAACATTAAACAAAATAAAGAATTCAAATGGGATGGGTAAGAGTGTGAAGTGGGAAGAAAAGGGCTAAAGGTGTAGGGAAAGGGAGAAGGGTAGGGGCAAGGAAATAAGGGAAAAGAAAAAATATGAGAAAATGAAAAAATGGAAATAAAGAGTTTGTTAAGGGGGAGGGGAGGAGGGGGTGAAGGGAGGGCAGGGACAAGGGGAAAATATGAGAACCAAGACCTGTCATGTAAAGGTACAGGATCCCAGTAATGAATGTAACTGTATTGTAGACCTAGATTGTACCAATAAAAAAGAAAAAAAAAAGAATTCAACGCCTTAAATTGTTGAAATGCTATATAACCTTACTCTTGATAGATTTGCGTTGTTACTTAACCATATTTCAATTTCTCTTCCATTAATTTGAATGGTGCTTTACAATATGATTTTTCTAATATAATTGAATAATCACTATACTATTTTCAAAAAACTAGCAAAGACATCCTCTAAGCCACAAATTATCCATCAAAGTTAGTAATTTCAAGAAATAGTTTTTTAGCATTCTTAAATTTATAGAAGTTTGTCACAAAGTTCAGGAGTAAAACATTACAAAAATCTGAGAAAACACTTGTGTTCAATGCAGTAGGGATTTTCCACCTTTGTTTTTTCATAAAAGCAAGTTCAGACCATTTAACAAATAGTATTGGTAAATTTTTTCAATGAAGTGAAAATTTCACCAAATAATAAATACTGGGGGAAAAAAAGGGCCGAGAATTTAGCCCAGTGGTTCCAGCGCCTGCCTTGCAAGTGTAAAGTCCTGAGTTTGATCCCCAGTACCAAAAAATAAAATAAAATAAACAGTGACACTTAGCAATTCTCAGCTTGTGATTTGTCTCAACTAATTAAAACAGAGATGAATATTTACATTACTAATAATCACTCTTACTAATAGTCATATTGTATAATACAAAGGTGACTAAATTGTATTAGAAATATATTCTCAAAAATATGAGTGAATCTATGTGTGACAAAGCTATACACACACACACACACACACGCTGTGGCAAGATAAGCAGGATTTATAAATAGTATCTAAGTATGTGTTTCCTAGATGATGTGTCTGAGTCCAGAAGCAACCAGAATAGGTGTCATCTATGAGTCTCACAGCCAACTCAGGGTAATCTAACCCCAAATACATACTTGCAGCTTAACAGGCAGAATCATAGAAATGAATGACAGCTTCTATGGTTACTTTACTTCTCTCTTTGCTTATTTGTCATTCCACTGGTCAGATTTTGATAAAAATCAAAACTACAAGCGATACAAATATAAACTACGGGCAATACCAATAATACAAGAGACATTATCTTGCTCTTGTTTGAGTAGGAAAATGAAACATAGGCATCATAAATTATACCTATGTGGTATGAATGTACCACACACTATTCAATCAATATATTCTTTACAAATGTTGTGGATACAAATTATGGTAAATTCACTAAGATTTTAAGTGTTTGCTACTTAAAAGAATAGTATAAAGTATAATATTCAGTAGTAAAATAACCTTTTAAATTTGCTTATGGATCCCAGTGCCAACCCCTTCGTAAATGCATCGATGCACAGTGTCTATCTCTAACTTAAATTTACAAATATTTGTCTTAGAGTACAGCACAGCCACATTGCCAAAGCCATCAAATCAAACCAGTAAGTAGATTTTGTGGTTAGAGCCGGTGGTAATTGCTCCTGTAACATGACCTGATCTACAGTTCAAAAGGCCATGGTCTTCTATGTCGAGAAGGGAGTATAGATGGCTGAAGGAAAGTTGGTGAATCTAGTAGGAAGGTCTTGGACTGGTACGGAAAGGACAATGGCTAGATTAGGATTGAGGTGTGGGAATGAAGAAGAGAAAATGGATTGGGGGTATTTTTATAGTCAACTGGTCATATCCTAATGGATTGGAAGTGGAAAAGAAAAAGGGGGTGTGGAGACTCACTGCATGAATGTGGTGCTTTTTGATATGGAGAAAACATCATCAAATCAAGTCTGGGAAAAGAGTTATTTTTGGCAAGGTTAACTTTGAGGTGCTTACTGG